CATAAGATCATTGTTGCAGTCCCTATGGCGCAATCCGTTATCGTGTTCGGGTGTTAACCGATGGGTTGGTAGTTCAAGTCCACCCATGGACGAAGTACAAGTTTTTATTACACACAATTTCTCATGTGTGGAATCGCGATATGAATACAACATCACGTCATTGTTGCAGCCTCTGTGGCGCAATCGGTTATCACGTTCGGCTGTTAACCGAAAGATTGGTGGTTCAAGCTATGCCAATGACGAATTACAAGTTTTTCTTAAACTCAATTTATCATTTGTGGTTTCGCGATATAAATACAACATAACGTCATTGTTGCAGTCTCTGTGGCGCAATCGGTTAGCGCGTTCGGGTGTTAACCGATGGGTTGGTGGTTCAAGCGCACCCAGGGACGAAGTACAAGTTTTTATTACACACAATTTCTCATGTGTGGAATCGCGATATAAATACAACATGAGATCATTGTTGCAGTCCCTGTGGCGCAGTCGGTTATCGCGTTCGGGTGTTAACCGAAAGGTTGGTGGTTCAAGCCGACCCAGGATCGAAGTTTTTATTAAACACAATCTCTCATGTATGGATTGGCGATACGAATACAACATCACGTCATTGTTGTAGTCTCTGTGGCGCAATCGGTTAGCGCGTCCAGCTGTTAATCGAAAGATTGGTGGTTCAAGCCCAAACAGGGACGAAGCACAAGTTTTATTACACACAATTTCTCATATGTGCATTCGCCATATGAATACAACATAATATCATTGTTACAGTCTTAGTGGCGCAATTGGTTATCGCGTTCGGGTGTTAACCGATGGGTTGGTGCTTCAAGCCCACCCATGGACGAAGTACAAGTTTTTATTACGCACAATTTTTCATGTGTGGAATCGCGATATGAATACAACATAACGTCATTGTTGCAGCCTCTGTGGCGCAATCGCTTAGCGCGTTCGGCTGTTAACCGAAAGATTGGTGGTTCAAGCCTTGCCAATGACGAATTACAAGTTTTTCTTAAACTCAATTTATCATTTGTGGTTTCGCGATATAAATACAATATCACGTCATTTTTGCAGTCTCTGTGACGCAATCAGTTAGCGCGTTCGGCTTTTAACCAAAAGCTTGGTGGTTCAAGCGCCCCCAGGGACGAAGTACAAGTTTTTATTACACACAATTTCTCATGTGTGGAATC